TATGAAATAAAAGAAATGCAAATATTGGGCTAAGTATCATAAATTGTGTCCAGAGAACAAATGAAAATAATCTTTTAAGAAGTCCGTCAAAGGTATTTTTTATAAATATGCGATTAACTTGGAATATGAAAATGAAAGGGTAAGCTAGGACATGCAGAGTTTATGATTGCAATTGAAATATAAAATTGTTCTCCTAGCTATGTCCATAGTTTTATAATCAATACAAGTGATGAAGCTATCATAAATCGTTTGTTATTCTGAAAAGCAACACATAACCACTTACAATATTCTTCCAGAACCGACATTGTATTAGGGGTTGTAATTGCATTATGATATTAGGGTAAAATTTATTATGCGGTGTTGATTTATAATCATTATATAAAGGTGTCAAAAGAACTTTTCGGTTAGTTGTCCAATCAATTGTCCCGATTTAATGCGTAATATAAAAATTTGAAAGTGACTATATACTAAAAGTTCCTTACAATGTTTACCATATAAATCATCCAATTTATCAGACTTCTGTAAAATTGTGGTTAAATGTTATAAAATACGTGTAAAGTTAGTCGTTCTATAATATGTGCTTGATTATCAAATGAAATAAGCCATTTTTACAGAAGCATTATATGATCTTTAAAAAAAGATAATAAATGTGTGATAAAAAGAAAAAACTCGTAAATTGATTCACTAACTTTCACCATATCGAATTCGGCCCGACATTGAAGAACGATCAACTTTGCACGTATTGATCACATTGAATCATTTTTGAGATCAATTTTGCAGGGGCTAAGTCTGATAAAGTGAAAGTTAGTGAATCAATTTATAGGTTTTCCTTTCCGCCACTCAAATATGTTCTAGAACTAATCACACATAGAATCTGATTCTTCAAGGTCCGAATTCAATGTGAAAGTTGGTGAATCGATTTACAGGTTTTCTTTTCCGTCACTCATACGTTAACAAATGTACAGTTAGTTGTACATATATAAGCAGAAATTATGTGTCATTTAGAATTTTATTTGAACTATACATGTAATAAATTTTTTAATTCAATTATTCATTGGCTAAATTAAAAACTAATTAACACGAAAATTTTCAATTTTTTTTATGCACGTGTACAACTTAGTGTATCAGTAATACATGCTACACTTTCGTGGAAACTACATCAATACATGCTAGCACTTTCGTGGAAACTACATCAATACATGCTTGCACTTTCGTGGAAACTACATCAATACATGCTAGCACTTTCGTGGAAACTACATCAATACATGCTTGCACTTTCGTGGAAACTACATCAATATATGCTAAACAAGAACAACAATTATAATAATGCCTAGCGGATTGAGTTCACGCTAATTTTTCCTGAAATATATAAATAACTTAAGTTTAATAAATTTCATGTTTGTTTTTTTTTTTAAAAAAAAAGGCAACAGAAAGTGAACTCTTGCTTTTACTTTATAAATACTGTACGTTTATTTCAACCATAAAAATCAAGAAATTCTGATATATAAACGATTGTGTCTCTGGTGTAATAGAAATTATTTGTGAAGCTTCAATGCTAATAACCTAAAATGCATACACACGACCCATCCAATCAAGATTTTTCAAATCCTCAAAATAATAAAGAAAATTTAATGAAAAATATTCAATCAGTAAGACATTCAAACATTAGTGACATTAATCTGAGTGAATCCGACTTCATCTTTAGCGAAATACCACCAAATAGTATTACAATAACAACAATTAAAACATTACCACCAATTCCTAATAAGTATGTGAATCCGGAAGTCCCGCCATACGATAGAGCATTTCATGAGATCACAAGTTTAGAACAAGTTTGGAAGATGCCATTGTTTCATCCGTACAAATATAGTCCTACTTGGAAGTTTTGGTTTATGCTTGCTTTTCTAGTTTGCCTTATTTTATGTGCCGGTAATATATGATTTTAAAATTCAAGTAAATATAAGGTGTTAATGATATTAGAATTTTTTAATTAAATATTTTTATATGCATACATATATTAATATTTGCAATAGGAATCTCAATAGGAATCTCTTTAGCTTATAATAATAAAAATAATAAATATAATTATAATGATAGTTGTTTCATGCAAAACTGCTCCAAAATGGTAAGTTTTCAAATTCTGATTTATAATTTTTATAGTACTTATATAAACAAAAACTCTTTTTAATTTTAGAACAATTGTTCAGTATATCGATTATATTAATGTTTATTTTCTCTTAATAATTAAGCACACTTTTTAATAATGACCTGGTTAGTTATTACAGTATTTAGAATTTTACATTATTAGGTTTAACAATTTAAAAAAGTAATTTTATCAAGATTCAAATTTGCAAAAATAAAATTCTTGATTATTATCATTATAATGAAATAAAAGATTAAGATCGAGGTTGGGTAAATGAGCTTGTTGACATTCTTTATTTTATTATTATTATCATCCTTATTAATATTTTTATCATTATGTTTTATTAGCAATTTTCATTATTATTTTTATTATATTTTATTAGCAATTTCATTATTATTTTTATTATATATTATTAGCAATTTCATTATTATTTTTATTATATATTATGAAAATTACTCCATACTACCCTGTGGTATTCACTACCAAATATAAGTTTTGTTAAAGTTTAGAGTTAGGGTTCTGAATTTTTCTTAGTACATCTGTCCCCGTTTCTTTAGTCCCGTTTTTGAGATATAGCAATACTGGTAGTTACTACGTACCAATGGTAATAAATAGCAAATTTCATATTTTATTATTAATTTTAAAAATTTTAATAATATGAATAAAAATTATTATTGCATATGGGCGCATTTACAGAATTAAATTAGGGTTTTTTTAGGGTTTGCTTTTTTTAAAATTTTAAAAGCAAATAACTTTTAATTTATAAGTTTTTAAAAAATATTTTTATTATCATCATATTCACCTCTTTAATATGATTCTAACAAGTCCAAAATCATCTAAATCTAATCACAGGATCAA